GCCGGGCGACACAAGACTATTAAAAACTTTGCCATTCGAATCGAAATCGTGGGACTTATACCCTGTTTGCCAAAGGACACCAAATAATGCCTGATGAGCGTTGACATGCCTTTTTGGGGTGCCAAATGTCTCAAAATCGTCAACGCCTACGCTCTACCATCGACTCGTTACCTCCGAGATGAGGATCCACAGTCAAGCCGCGCAGCAAACCTCAAGATAAGCAACGCAAATTTAGTGTGAATAATATTTCGTTGAATTTGCCTGCTTACCATCCGCTTTTCAACAGCGGTATGGCTCAATGGCTAGCCAATGTTCCAGACGCAAATTAAAACGTCTTCGTGGACAACCGATGGTATCAACGAAGGAGCAGTGTTCAATCAAACACCTTCAGTGTTCTCGGCTGCACAATTCGCCAACGCCAAGACTAGCTTGCCGTTAACGATGCTGCCATTAGCAGCCTCTCCACCGTGAAGAATTGCCTGCGCAAGGCCTACACTGACCGCCATCAGATGCCATCAAAGTAGCCTTAAAACGAAGTCATGTCTTGTAAAACAGCGGCTGCGGGACATAAGGTACGTGTAGGTCGTTCGCAAAGACGAAGAAATACAAGACTGTACGCACTGCAATGAATGTGAAAAGCACTCTGCTGCGATCAAGTTTGTCTATGGTCTTACAGTCGAAAGAATATCCTCTCTTCTTATCGCTGAGGGGTCTACCCTACTCATTGAGAAGACTCAAATCCTGAAGCACTGAGCTGATCCCATACAAAGCATACTCAATTGCTCCTCCACAATATTCGATGCCGCCATCTATCACCTGCCTAATTTGGAAATCAAGGTTAACGACGACATCCTGTCCATTTGCCAGGAAACCGTCAGGGCCGTGCAGCAACTCTCCAGCGGGAAGGCACCCGGATCAGATGCGATCCCTCTTGAGGTGTACAAATACGGTAAAAAACCAGCTCACCAATCACCTCACCACATTCTTCCGGGGGATGTGGCCTCAAGTAAAAGTTCTACAGGACTTCAAGGACTTTAAGGACGCCACATTCCCACACCTGTCAAAGTGAACGGCCAATCACAGAGCAGTCTCGCCTCTCAATATCTCCGGAAGAAATCTTTGTTCGCATTCTCGTAAACAGTCTGAACTATCACCTGGAAGAGGGGATCTTCCCTGAAGGGTAATCTAGTTTCCGTCCTCATCGCGGCACAACTAACATGAGGTTTAGCGCGTAACAGCTACAGGAGATGCGCACTTAACTCTTCATGACCTTCGTGGACCTGACAGATGCCCACGATAGGAGGAATTGCGGCTGTCCTAAGCCGTTCAATCATATGATACGTCGATTCTACGACAGAATAACTACATAAGTTAGTAAAAATAAGACTATGTCCGAAGTCTTCGCAGTGACCAACGAAGTGGAGCAGGTCCTTGCGGCTATCCTCTTCAATCTAACGTTCTCTGCCATGCTGATGGGGGCCTACAGTGCGAGGGCTCCTGCTAACCAGTGGTTCCCCAGCATAATCTGCGGGCGTTCTGGCAGATAGCCCAGTTTTGAAATTTCAGGTTGTTGCCTCCTCAAATAATTGTTTCAATTTCGGCGTGACATCTGCAAAAGAAATTCTAGGAGATGCGCACCCCACGCTACGCGACCTTTGTGGACCTGACAACTGCCCTCGACAGAAAAAAATGCGTCTGTCCTGAGCGCTTCAGTCCCATGATAAGTCAACTCCATGACGGAATGATGGCATAGATTTCTAAAAACTAGAAGGTGTCCGAAGCCTTCGCAGTGACCAAAGAATTAGAGCAGGTCATTGCGGTTACCCTCTTCAGTGTCGGGTTCTCTGGCATGCTGATGGTTGTCTACCGTGACCAGCGCACCGGGACCCTCATTAATTACAAGACGGACGGCCACCTCGTCAACATCCAACGTATGCAAATCCTCACGCGAATCTCTACGGCCACAGTCCACAATCCGCTCTTAAAGACGTTCGCGCTGAATACTACGACAAAAAGGGGCATGTAAAACAGTACTGAAATCTTCGTCTCCACTTGCGTTAACTTGTAACTTACCATCAGCACAAACAAAGCGGTGTTCACGCACTAACCACCGCCCGCTGTTCATTTTAAGGCTCCGCGAGTTAATGTCAGCGGCATCGAACTTAAAGTCGTGGACAACATCGCCTATCTCAGCCGCAACATGACTCCAGTATCGAAAAAGGGATTGCCTACGTAACTCTTCAGCAAGCCAGGTCTTTGGCCGTCTCCAATTCTCAGTGTATAACTCCCATGCCCTACACAGCGCTGCCAAACCTAAGATGTAAAAGGCCGTTGTTCTCACGACATCCTACTACGGATTGGCCACATGGACCATCTACGGCAACCAAGCTCGAAAGTTGAACAACTAGCATTTCAGCTGTCTCTGCCGAATACAGAAGTTTGGATGGCAGGACAGGCTCCTGGACACAGACGTTCTGGAACGAACGGGAATCCTCAGCATCCATGGCAGCCTGAGGCAAATTAAACTGCGACGAGAGGCTGCTTGGTGCAAATGGGCGATCAACGACTACCCAAGCAGCTGTTCTGCGGTCATGTTGCTTTGGGTGCTTGCTGCCAAGCAGAACAAGGTAGGCGCTATAAGTAGGCTTGAAGAACTCCCAGAAGTGTCACAAAATCAAAAGTATGACATTGGGACAACTCGCACAAGACTGAGCTGCTTGGAAAAGGACGGTACCTACCAAGCGAGTAGTAAAACCCACGTAATTATCGGCAATAATGGTTGCAGAAGTACTAGCTCAACGAAGAAAAACTAGCGCCATTTGTCACTGTTTGACACATGTACGAGAGCTTCGGCTCATCAACGGTTCCCCAGCATAAGCTGCGGGCTTTCTGGCATAAACTCCGGTTTTGAAATTTTAGTTTGTGATTTCCTCCGATATTCCTTTCGTCCTCAGACTTAAAAAATGTCATATTATCATACAGATCGAGGGTCAGCTGCCCCTGCTAACTAACCATCAAATATGCTTAAGTATATTAGGCATATCAGGCATTCC